ATATATGCACTTCAGACTAGACAATCCTTTAATTATTATATTGTAGATGTATCTATTTGTGATTTAAATTAAGCAACAACATAATTTACCTAATACGAGGAATAATAATAGTAAAAATCGAAAGTTTATTTTTTGGAATTTAATAAATTCACTTAATATTATAAAAAATTATTTCTTACAGATCAACTTACCTGTAAAGTTGGATATGCATAGCTTTACTTCATAGCAGAACACGAGCAGAAGGAGCAACCATTCTTTCTTAATCATAACTTACTACCATCGTTACATTGAACGCGGCTGCTCCTCGATAGTTTTGCTAACTTTCTGCCCCAGCTGGGATAAACCCGATGTCTACCACGTGTTAATGTGTGTATACCTGCTTCTTCTCCAATAGTTACTACGGTATCATCATAATAACACGTGTTTCGGGCGCATGCGCGTTGTCCCCTATGGCTGAAAAGAGAAACTATGTCAGTGAGTTGGGAGTTAAGAAAAGAAAAATTCGAAAAAATTATTATAATAAGAAAAGATCATTTTGTTCTCTACAAAACTTGTTTTTTCGCACAAGGAAAAATCTTTTAAATATATTGTTACCCTTAAAATACAACCCCCTTTTTTTCTTAATCCATTCTTTAATATATATTATTTCCATATTAAATACAGTTCAATCTTCTCTATAAATTTTTTATTTTCCTTATATTAAATAGCATAATTAAGTTTTTAAAATAAATATAGAAAATATTAAGATTTATATAAAAGAAACAAACTATTTACCCGTTTAAACTGATTTTATACATAAATAATAAATTGTGGAAGGAGGAAAATTAAGAGTTTTATCAGAATAAAAATAGAAAAAAATATTTTTAATATAATAACTCTTTTCAACGAAACAAAATAACGCGTTCATTTCCCTTAATTCTAGATTGTTTTTCTTGCACGAACTTCAACTCATTGTCAAAGAAAACAGTCAAGTAATGGACTTTTTTTCGCTTCAACAATTTAAAATTGGAAAATTATATATATATAACTCGTGTTTAATTTTTTTTTTATGATTCTAGATTAAGTTTACTAGCCTGAAATTAAAAACAATGCACCGTAAAAGCACTTATTTAGAAATCTTGTATAAAAACCCTTTTAATTTCTCTATAATTCAGTTATACCAATGATACGTCTCGTTTAAAATCGTCTTATAATTATGTATTTAGAAAAAATTATTACTCATAACCCAATATTTTATATTGGGTTATGAGTAATAATTTTTATATCATAGTATATTAATAGAATCAGAAGTTATATCAGAATAGTATATTTTATTAAATAATAATAATTTAACATTTAGGGTATAAAATATAAAATTTTTAAATCAAAATTATCAATAAGTATTGAATGATTTACACCTTATTCTTCATTATTATTGATATAATTTGCCATTCTGCCATCTGGTAGAAAGAAATCCAACTAGCTGCAAATGTGAAGAAAAATATGCAGTTTTGAAGTACTTATCTGTTATAGGGTCATTATATAATTCGTATTTCTAAATAATAATTATCATAAAATGATTACAGAGATAAATGTTTGAAAATTATTTTTCAATATAAAATTTCTTTGATAGTTTGACTAGTTCGAACCATAATTTAATAGGTTTGTTGATATGGAAGTGATATTTTAAATTTCCAATTTTAATAAACAAGTAAACCTAGCTTTATAAAAATATATTTAATTTTTTAAATTAATTAATTATAAATCTTCGTAAGTTATCTTTTTATATATTATATAACTTAAATATTAATAATTTAAAATGTTTCTTATGTAAACTAGAGTTTCGTACTTTTGTAATAATGTTTCATTAAGGTTTAATCAGAATAGTAAACAATTAGAATTTTATTTCTATGTTTTTTAATTAGTGTATTTATAGAAGAATTATATAAATATAATTATTGAACTCAAAGGAAATTCGATTATAGTCATTATGAGATTTTAAATCGATGAAGATAAATAAAGTTGATACAGCAATTCTTGTAATTTATATAATTGATGAGAAAATTCAAATTCAATTTTATCTTTTCGTTTTAAGAAAAATGATTGTGTATATTAATGTAATGTTAAATTAAGGAAATGACTTGAAAAAGTATGTGTATTTTTCGAATTTTAGATTAAATTGCCCAGATTATTGATTATTTTTAACTATTTGTGTAACTCAAAATGTGTATGAAATAAACTTTATACGCATTTTTAAGAAAAAATTTCTATACGCAATTCTATGCCAAAATCGAATTTATATTTATTTACTTTTTCTGTTAGTTTAAACTATTTTTGCTTACAAAATGCTAAAGATATATCTTCACTTTCATTTGTATTTAATTTCTAAGATTTGAGTTATTTATTTTTGCAATAAATTCTTTATTTGATTATATATTATATAATATATATAAATTTGAATTTTAATTAAGCATATTCTTTAATAGATTTTATTTTATTGGTGTTTTTTCTATATCGCTGAGATTACTTTATTAATGCATTAATTATCCTTAAAAGCGTTTTTTTTTTTGTTTCATATTCTAAATAGCTACTCCTCTGCCGGTCTCTGATTGCTGGTTAACAGTACGTAGGCTGTATCATGTCATATATCAGATTAAAAAAGTTATAAAGAATTTCTTATTTTAAAAAAATGTATACATAATTAATTGTGATGAATAACAGTTTCCATTATTCTCCAAGCAGTGTTTAAAAATTTATAATTTTATTGCAGATTTTAATTAATGCACGAGACAGATAGATTTTTCTATTATCTAATGCAACTTTCTTCCTTCGTTTTATTGTTATGCTTATAAAATTAATATACATATAAAATAATAATAAAATATATAATATCAAATAATCGTTATTTACAAGTTAGTTTAATAATTTAAATATTAAAACTGTCGAAGATTTTCATCATAAATTTTGATAGCGAGAGGCATCACATACGAGTTAGTTTTATGACGATAACGACAGCAGTGTCAAAATCGATAAATCGACATAACGTATAAAAAGTTGATTTTAAGATATATCAAATTTTTAAAAATATCTATAGAATTTATTTTATAAAAAGTAGCAAACTAAGACGAAATTGATATGTTCCTGGTAGTTCTGTTTGAATTTGGTACTGGTATTTATCCTTAGTTATTATTCGCAATTGCCAAAATGTTAGAAAAGTAATATCAAAGCAATTAGTAGTGCAGAAGCCGAGAGATATTTCAGTTCAATGAATGTCACATGTACAAAAATAAAAATTGTTAAACATATATCTGAATTTATGGCAATCAATTTACTGAAAGAAGAATTAAAAGATTGAAACACTATATATTTTGTAAAATCGTAGCTAAATACAAACCATAGATTAAACACAGATACTAGAATGCGCCATAAATCGGAAAAGACTTTTAGAGTGAACTAAATTGCTGTTTTGAATTTATTGTAAATAATTTTTTTAGTAAACTTCATTAGAAGTTAGAAGTTAAAGTTGTTTGTGGAATTTAAGTAAAATTTTTTTTTGTACATGAAAACTTTTTCAAATAAAAATAAGTGTTGAATTGCTTTTTGTTCTTCTAATAAAAATTTGTTTTCAAAGAGATTCCAAATCATTTTTAACATAAAGATAAGTACGTGAAAAAATGCTTTAATATAGGATTTCTGGAAATTCTACATCAGTTTATCCTTCTTTTATTCTCTCCCTACTCCCCTGAAGCGAGCCAGTTGTTAAAAATTTGCCAACATACCACTGCATACACAGTCAGTCCTTCCATAATTATTGTTTTTTTAACTCCAATGCTTTATATAAGAATTAAAAAATAATTAATTTAAATTCAAAAGTAAATTAGTTCTGAAAAAATAAAAAGGATATGTCTCTAGTAGTATAACGGAAATATTAGTTATTACATAATTTTTGATGATTCACAAAATCTTTTACATATTTACAAAATAAAGAAATATCAAACCTTTCTATCTGACACACCTAAGCAAAAGAATACGAAAGAAAAAAGATCTGAACTTGAAACAAAGAATTTTTTAAAAGAGTATATGACTCCAAGCTCTAGCAAAAGTATTGAAAGCTNGATGAGATGTAAGAAAGCATCATATGTATCTTTATGCTCAAAGATACAATCTAAAGAGGGTGGTGGCCAAGGAAAGTTATACGTCTGAAGTAGAGTTTTTAATATTAATCTTTCAGTTTCCAACATAGGACAGCTGTAAATATAATGACTGCTGCTGTCATATAAATTAGATATTTTTCCATTTTTAAATATTCAATGGAAGTTTTAAATTAAAAACCAGGCGAAAGTTTTTCCGTTTTATACTCCAAATCAGAAGAAAAAATTTTGACAGGATTATAAATGATGCAACGAGAATGGAATGTGCATAAAGAATAAAATTTTTTTAAGTTCATTGTTCTCTTCTATTTATTAAGGTGTGGTCGGGGTAGTTGATTGCATCTTAACAATATGGCGTTCCATACCAGGAACTCACTACAACTATTATGAACGAATTAGAAAGGTCAAGGCTGTAATATCCCCTAGGCAAGGACGTACGAAGCTCCGATATTTTTTCAATCAATTTTTTTCACACATGGGTTTCTTTCATTCCGGATGGGTTACACAATGGCTTCTTACCGAGCATAAAACTGTTTTTGAAATCTCAAGACAACAAATCCGCTTTAATTATCTAATAATAAGAGCAAATGTTTAAATATTTGTCATGTAATCTTATCTTTTAGAAATATTATTTAATAAAAATAATACTGTATTTTACTAAACGAAATTTAATATTTGCATTAACCGTATAAATTTAATGACTGCTGCTGTCAGTACAGAGAAAGAGGGCGCTTAGTAGGTTTATGTTGGTTGCTGGAAATTTGGCTCTGTTTTTCTTCGACGATTTTGCGGAAATAGTGATTGTGTACGAAAGTGTTATATACTGTTGGATTCCATTTTTCACAAGGAACAAAATGGTGTCAAGATCGTCTTTGTAGACCTAATAGGTCGGAAGCTGTGACCTTTGGAACATTTGATTTTCTTCGAACGCGATTAACTGGAATATTTTAACAGACTTTTATTAACTGTCATCGGAATCGTACCCGGACTCATACTGTGAGTGCACATTTTAAATATGGGGTCATTCGGATAATCAGTTTTCGGAATATCGGTCATTTCCTGTCTAATTTTGGGCGGTTTTTGTGGGCTTCCGGATGTTCGAATTTAAATTTGGTCGACACCAACATGGACAGAAAGAAAAATGTTACATAACTGTGAAGTTTCATGTCTATATATTC